TAAAACTAATTACTTTTATAATACATAACTATAGTTCATGGTTTAAGGTTAGTGCATAGGGTATACGGTAGAGGACTCGTGGTTTAGAGTTTGGAGTCATAGGACATATGTTCTTCTCAATAACTGAATATAAAATTGACTCAACTTACATTCTTCACATAACATACGTTGTAGCTTATTCGAACAATTTCATAACATATAACTATAGTATAGGGTATAGCCGTATAGGGTCATGGTTTAGAGTTCATTGTTTGCATGTTTGGGTTATGGAATTATGGTTAAGGGTTGAGGTTAGTTTTAGGGTTAATTACTTAATGTTGTGATTTAGGATAATGTATGGTTGATGGTTAAGGTTAGTTTTAGGTTTCAGATTTAAAATGGTGTTATAGGGTTAAGGTTTAGGGTTTAGGGGTTAGGGTTTCTTCATGGTTATGCTTTGTGATAGATATTTTGTTTTTTATAGTTTATTAATTAATTTGATTTTAACAATTAATTTAAATTGTGAATGTACATCTTAAATATATCATATTCAAATGTACATCTTAATTTGATTATAAACCCCAAATATTTTAACCCCCAAAATTTGGTCCAAACACTACAGGAAAACATGTTTCTAATCACCGTATCTTATTCACGGGAATATTTGCCGTACTAAAAAATAAACTAATAATCACTGGAAACTTTTCTGTAATTAATTGTATAGTTCTGGTCATGGGCAATAATTTATCTGTTTTTAATTTTCATTATCGTGATTAATGATTAGCCACCTTTAATTTCTAATGTAACAATTTATTTTTGACAACAAAATTGGTAGACTCCAAAATTATTTTGGCTCAAAAAATTTCATATCCCCAAAAGTTTCAGATTGGCAAAAATATTGGCTCCAAAAGTTTCACATAGGAAAAAATATGCCGCCAAAGCTCCCCCAAAAATTCTGAACTTTTATTTAACGCCCTAAGTTTTTAAATAAATCGCCCTAAATTATATTAACGGACGATTTTGCCCCCAATTAAAACATCAATCTCGTAATCGCCCTAGTCCCTAAACTGACAAGCCCCCGCCTCCCTCTGCTCATGCTCGCCTCCCCGTGCGCCGGCGCCGCCGTCTCCCTCCGCTCCTGCTCCCCTCCCCACGATCGGCGCCGCAGCCCTCTGCTTCCTTCATCTGGCCAGCCAGACGACCGTCGCCGCTCTGCTTCGCCCGCTGCTTCTTCTCTGGTTAGAGACGTGGTTTCGACCTGTGTCCAGCTCGTCGATGACGGGTTTTCAACCCGCCTCGTTGCCGAATCGAGCGGGTGGGGATGACGTCCATAGCCGGGGGAGCAGTGGTGGAGCACGTCCGGACACGCCCTAGTCGGGTTTCTGCCTGGCTACGATATGAATCAGGTTGCCGCCGACGAGAAAGACTGGGCATGTGTACATCGTTCTCCTTCCCCGTTAAGCTCAGTAGCACCAACGGCGGCGAGGAACATCGTCGGCAATGTAAAGGGTTTGGGGTTGGCGGTGATTTGTTGATTTGGGGATTTAGGTTAGAATTGGGCTACGGGCAAAGGTGTCAGTTTTTCAAATTTAGGGCGAATTTTTTAAATATTTAGGGCTGTAAATATTAACTCCCCAAAAATTTCCCCAATAATTGAAATTACTTGTCTTCCCTCTCTCTTGGTAAAAAAACTCTCTTCCTTCTTTACAAGAGAGAAACGAACTGAGCCCAAAATTTTTCCCTCTTTCTCTCATACGCTAGTTCTTCTGCAAAGAAATAGAGCCAAACCCTAGCCTGATTTTCTCTGTATCCCCTACCTTGTCTCTCATTACTTTCCCCTCTCTTTCTATCAAATCTCTTCCCCTCTTTCTAAACCTGAATCTAACCCCAAACACCGCCACCACCACCACCGTCGACACCATTAACGCTACCGCCACCGCCATCGTCTCCGCTGAGTCCCGCGTCCAGCTTCCCTCCGTTCTGTCTCAATTTTGCGGCTCATAAAACTTTGCCTATGATGCGGCCGGAAGAGTCATAGCCAACAATCAATCGCCTTCTTGAGACAAAGCATCTCGCATGCTCCATCTTCCTTCAACGTGCTTTCGATTTTGGCTCTGGTTTGAATTTATGCTTCCTAACTCTTAATTGGTTTGCTGCAAATTTTATTCCTTAATCGTGGCTTCTCAAGTTCCTTGTGTTTTACCTGTTGGGACTTCGTTTCATCTAACTATTGGGTCTCAAGTGTTTCAATTGTTGTATTTTTCTAGGTTTCGACTGGCTGGTTTCAGGCTTTGTCCTTACAGCACCATCATCTGAGGTTCAAGATGGGTTCCTCTTATGCTTTGTTTTAAAATTGTGCTTCACCTCTGCTTCTTGATTCCACTTCATTAATGTGCGTTTTAGGTTCAGATTTCCCTCTCTTTTGTGCTGCTGCTTGATCCTTGTATCGTTTCTGTGGGTTGCTTGAGAAGTCAAGGGTCGACGCATCTGAGGTGGAACAGGTGGATGCAGTCAAGGGTCGACGCATCTGAGATGAACCTTGTTTTTGCCCTGTTGTCGAATATCGCTATAGGAAAGGATTTGAAACAGTTTCTATTGGTATGACTTTCAGTGTTGAATTGCTTGTTACTGATTATGAACAATCTAAAAATTCTCAAACTTGAATTCGTCACATCTCATTGATATAAACTTATTACTCATTATGTGTTATTTCCTTGGAATCCTGCCACTGAGATTGTGCAAGCTTGCCATTCTAGGTACCAGGGCATGGAAGGTGATATTCCTTACCTCTGGATACTTAATGTGAGTGGTATTCCTCATCTAATTTTCAGAAAGCTTATTTGAAAGTGGATCTTTTGTCAAAGCTCGTTCTTTGCTTGCTTTACAAACTATCCTCTTTGCTGAGATTGCTATTCTCTGTGAAATTGCAATGGAGGAACCCTTAGAGTCTTTTGGTATGATGTTCCAGTGGATTTAATTGCAATTGCAGTGGTATGAAGTCTTTTGATCTTGAAGATAAGAGTTAGTATCCTACATGAGATGTAATTAATATGTTCCACATGTTCAGTCAGTTGGTGGATTTGGTCATTTCTAAAGGGGTTTTTTATGGCTTCATATTGGTTCTGATGTGGCAATGGCCGATGAAGCCACAGATCGCAGCAGTTGATTCATGTTGCATGGTGAGTGTTGTTTGCAATGAAAACCTTTACATAGCTAACCTTGGTACAGATTGGCACTTGAGAACTTTAGTTATCTCTTCCCTAGTATAGTTAGGCTTTTCCAAACATGCTTGACTTGTGAAAGAAAGCTTTGTTCTTCTACTTTGGACCTAAATTATTGTGTTCTGACCTAGTGATATGCAACAACAAAAGCAGTACAACCCATAGCAGTAGAAGTAGTGCAGCAATAGCAAAAGTATATTAATGTATTATAATTGGACTTTGTTTTTCAATTTTTTCCTGTCATGTTGGTTGAATTGGACTGAGATTATCAATTGTGTGCTAAAAAAGACGTGGCAGCATAATAACCTGTGATGCGGCTGCTGTTTTTGAAGTTTCATGGCAGATACAACAGTGCAGGTTGCTTGTAATGGAGTTCATGGCACAAAGATTTTGTTTGCTCGAAGAAGGATCAAAATTTGAACATTAACTCTGTATAGATTATCTTGATGTTGACTCTAATATTATAGTTTATTGAGCAGTTAGTTACTGGGATCTAGTTATTGCCATGATGTAGATTGTAATATTATGGAATTATTGACTACAAGATTGAACTCTTTTGATTGTTAATAATATTATTTTACTTACGAGTTTGTCCATCAATCGCACATCAATTTGATTGAGCTCCCCTGCCCCTTCTTCGAGTTCACTGTCTTTACTCATGTTACAAAGACTTCGTGTTTTCAATTTGCATGTTAATATATGTATAGTGGATATATGACAAGCGGTTTATAATTAGCTATGCATTCAATATTAGTATGGAAGTTAATAATTTGCAGATGAAGTTGAGTAAGGAATATTAAAAGCGTGTGTTACCATATAAAATAAGAATGAAAGTTAAATTATACTAGAAAGCACGAATAAGCACGAATGTGAAGAAAATAAAAGCACGACATAGACATGATCAGGCACGGAACGGCTTGACTCGTGCTTGGGCCCGGGCCGGGCCTAATAAAACTGTTAAATAGGCTTGTATGGCACGGCACGAAATTTAATGGGCTGTGCCTAGCACGACACGAAAAATATGGGCACGAGATGGGCCCGTGCCGTGCCGGCCCAAGCACGGCCCAACGCCTATGTACAGTCTCAACTCTCAACTATCAAGATTCAAGAGATGGTTTCATAGGTTTATGATCAAACAAGTTGTCAGCTTTTTAATTTCTTGTTGTTCAACTATTTATTTATGTTGGTTCTGTAACCTTAATGAATCCTCTAAAAGGTACCAACAACTAGCAACATCAAACTTGTTTATGATATATTCAAGCAAAATCTAGTCATTCATTTGTTTAATAATGTCCATTCATGTTTTATTCATTGCAATATGGTGATTGGTGAGTTTGTTTTAAATTAGTGTAATAACTCCCTAAAAAAATATAGTGTAATAACTAATTATAAAAAAACTCGATGGTGTGGACCGAACAACCCGCAACCCGACCTGTTGTAACCCGCAATCCGATCAACCCGAACCCGATTGATCTGCAACCCGATCAACCCGTAACCCGACTGATCCGCAACCCGATCAACCCGAACCCGATCAACCCGCAACCCGCAACCCGATCAACCCGAACCCGCTTGACCCGCAACCCGATTAACCCGCGACCCGACTGAACCCGACCCGAACCCGCCCGATTGACACCTATATACACCGCTACTCACAATCACGGTTGTTTTGGGGAAGCCAGCAACCACTTCTAGTTCTATACTTATAGTCAGGCTCAGAAACCAACAAATTTGTCTCAACGCAAACGTTAAGTTAGCTCGCAGAATATTAGAGTAGCATCTGATTCTGATCCTGTCGAGCGACTACCAAATACAAAATTATTGTTTTATCTCACAAACAATGACTTGAGGTAACCCCTCCAGACTTCCAGTAGCTATAACGCTTGCTTCCAAATTGGAGGGGGAAAGAATTGGTTTTTCACAGAACGGATCCATGGCCAACAGGTAAGCACTACTTCACTGACTCGCTCCCTCCCCTGTGCCCTTCTTCAGTTCAGCAATCAAACCCAGATGGAGATGGACGTCCAGCCACGATCTGCACTTTCTTCTTCTTCTTCTTCTTCTTCTTCTTCTAAATATTGTGCTCCTTCCTAACCACAGGTACGCAGTAGTGACGGGAGGGAACAAAGGGATTGGATTCGAAATTTGCCGGCAGCTGGCTTCTTGTGGAATCCTAGTAGTATTGACAGCCAGAGATGAGAAGAGAGGCCTCCAAGCCATTGAGGACCTCAGACTCAAGTATGGCGTCTCCTCCGACAACATCGTTTTCCATCAACTCGATGTGGCAGACAGCTCCAGTATCTCTCGTCTCTCAGACTTCATCAAAACCCAGTTTGGGAAACTTGACATTCTGGTAACTTCAATTAGCAGTTCTGTTTGATCGATTCTGAACCGACTCGGTCCTCAATTGAATCTCCTTTTTGGTCGCATTGGCACATTGTGTACAGGTGAACAATGCTGCGATTGCTGGATGCATTTGGCGAGAGGATGTGCTGAAATCTGTGCCCTTGGAGAAGGTACTGTCCACAACCCGACACCCTCTATATCTATTATCTGGATTCAAGAGTTGGAAAGAGGAACAGAGGGATGAATTTTTGACGAGCCAATTTCCTTTTGGTTTTCTCCCTTTGTCAATGTTATGATTTGGGTGATTGGCGAGAGAAGATCAGATGGGATGAGGTTACGATTAACACTTACGAATTGGCTGAGGAATGCCTCCAAACAAATTACTATGGCGCAAAAGAAATGATCCAAACATTCTTGCCTTTACTTCAGTTATCTGATTCCCCCACAATTGTTAACGTTTCCTCTGGAGCAGGCAATCTTAAGGTAATCTTTTAAGTTGGTGCGAACTCAGAGTAAGCTTCTATGTAATTGCTTTTGTTTGTCCCATCTGTAGCTAATGACAAGAATCACCTCTCTCTCATTTACCTTTGTATAGACTTGGCAGTTCTTTTTATCTAAATCAACTGGGTTCACTGGAATTGTTGTAATGATACGCTGTCTTTCAGTCATACAAAGCACTGAGAATTTCTCACATTTGTTTGAATAAACTCTAGTCGAAAAGGTTTGGGATGAATCTCAATATCTATGAGTGATGTCAATTAAGGAAATTAATTTTGTTATGAATTTGCAGAATGTGAAGAACCAATGGGCAGAATCAGTGCTGGGAGATGCTGAGAATCTGAGTGAGGAAAGAGTGGAACAAGTGCTGAAGAAGTTTATGGAAGATTTCAAGGAGGGTTTGTTGGAAACCAAGGGTTGGCCTTCTTTTTCCCCTGGTTATGTTCTGTCCAAGGCAGCACTGAATGCGTACAGTAGGATCATGGCCAAGAAGTACCCAAGCCTGTGCATCAACTGTGTGTGCCCTGGATTTGTGAGGACAGATATCAACTTGCACACTGGTAACCAAACTCCTGAAGAAGGTGCTAAATGTCCAGTGAAATTGGCATTGCTGCCTAGCGGCAGCCCTTCTGGCCGCTTCTTTAGTGGGACGGAGGAGGCCCCCTTTTGAATGATATGAATCGGCTAATTGTATTTTAGATGCAATTATTCATATCCATTGATGTTGTTGCTACTTACGTACGGTACGGTGAAACTTAGTAATCGTTCTTTTTTTCGTCCATAGCGGTAATAAATGAATATTATTTAAAACTCAATCCCCTTATTTAATGATTAGTAAAAATTAAATAATTTACAAAATGTTCAGGTAGTGTTTTAATCATTATGAAAGATATAAGTCATACAATTTAATAATTGTTTACGTGATACATAAGCAACAAAAAGAAGTTAGACTCATTGAGGTTAGCACCATGCTAACTCCTCAATCACCGTTCATTATTTTTAATTGAATATGATGGTGGGGTGCAGCGGAGGGCATATGAGGCATTTCAATAAATTGAATTAAATTTTAAAAAAAATCTAAATCTATCTTCGGTCTCTTGTATAGATGTGTTGTGTGAAAAAATAATTACATAAAAAGTACCACTTAAATTAGGGGCTCTTTTATTATACGATAAAGTATTGGTGTTTTAATGTACAACTTGAAGTTGTACCATAACATTAAATACATAAGTTCAAATGAATTTGTACCCTTATGTTATAGTATAACTTTACAAGTTGAAGTTGTACCATCACAAAAAGATACAATTTCAAGTTGTACCATAAAAAATATGTACAAAACAGTGTAGGTATAATCTAAAAGTGTACCATTACAGTGAATATACAATTTCAAGTTGTACCATAAAGGTAAAAACCTATAGCACCAATGCTATATAGTATTGTAAAATTCCTCCTTAAATTAGAAGTAGTTTTCGTGAGTATAGTAGCTATTTCACAATTTTTTATAATGATTTACGGGTAATGTTTATTTTTTATCGAAAGCTTTTTCGGATTCTTTTATATTATCCAAACCTATCGAAATACTAAGAATTAGCCAAATGTTAACTTCCGGTTAGCAATTTTGTTAGTAATGTTGACTTGGCAACGTGATACTGACCTGGAAGAGACATATGAGGCCAACATTCCAAATTTTTATTATTTTAACCAGTGTTATCAAAACCGATCCAGACCGGCCGGTCAAACCGCAGCTAACCGGCTCCGGACACTCACCCGGTTCCGACTCCCTCTAAGCAATAAGGAAACTGGTCGGCCGAGTTTTAACCGGTTCATCCGGCTAACAGGCAGAACCGCCTAAACCGAAGTGACGTTTTTGAGATTAATATTTACTTTTTATAAAAAAAAATATTAGTTACCTTTTTTTTGTCTTGAATCGAAATAAAATTGGAAAGATAAAAATAATGCTTCTTTTCCATTTTTTTCAACTTTCCTTTTTCTTTTTTTTACACTCAATCACGTTACCTATCTTCTGCTTCTTCTTAATTCCTTTCCCCAAATAAGAACAATATTGATAGAATGCATCATTTTGTTACTTTAATTACTTTTTATTCAAATTATTATTTTATTTACTTTCCTCTTCTTGTCAATTTCCCCATTTGATTTCTCAATTGACCAACTCCAATTGTCAAACTCTAAAAAGCAAAAAATCATTATTTATTACTTGTATGATTAACATTTTAATATTGAATTCTTCAATTGAATATGTAAATAAAATATATAATTCTGAATTTAAAAATTAGTATTAATTTTTAGAGGTAACATGAAGTCATGATTATTTTATTTGAATATTTTATATTCCACCGGTTTTATCACCGCTTTCATACCGGTTAATCACCGGTCATCCGATAAATCTTAAACGTCTTGTTAATCCGGATCGCTGTCCGGTCCAGTTTCGACAACAATGATTTTAACTAAGAAAAGAGTTACACAATTATTAACGATAACGTAAAAATGGCTAATATTTTGATGCTTTATGAAAGATTTGGATAATTAATAGAATTTTAATAGGTTTGATAATATAAAAGAATCTGAAAAAGGTTTAGATAAAAAATAGACATTAATCATGATTTAATTATCATTAACACCTGTGTCTAGGTGACCGAAATTAAAAAGAATAAACAAATATCATAAATGAAAACATTACTACACATTAGTAGTTAACATAAATGAATTCTCACACAAAACCAGATCACTAATAATTGGTAAGAAAATAAAGCTAATGAAAAATAACTTGAATCACCATTCGTCTCCTTAAAATTTAAATTTTATCGCCTTAAAATGCAAATAATTGACACTATTACCCTGTTCTCAATTTCAACCGAAATCTAAACAAGTAATTTCTTTTCCCCTGGCCAGCCGTTGCCGAGCTCCTCCATTCTCTGATCGCTGCTGTCGTTGCCTCATTCTTATTTCCGGCTCGTCTTCCTTTTTTCCAACCCGAATCACCCCCGGTTGCAACAACACAGCCAGTTGCTCCGCCATCCGTACGAGCGAGAGGATCAGCACGCCGTATCCGGCAAAAATCGGGAATTTCTGGCCTCGCCAACAACTCGTAGGAAATTAAGTTCCTGAGAACAGTCCCTGTGCTCTGATTTCTCCATGTGAACTCCGTAAGGTTAAGGATTTTTTCCTTGGGTCGGAAACTGATTTGCCTGATGGTGGCCACCGCTTTTGAACGGAGGTTAATGGAATTTGAATTCTCGTTTTACATTAACTCTGTTGATTAATTAGCTATTGCTATGAAAGAAAATACCTATAGATAACAACTAGGTTTTCAGGTTCTCTTTCCACCAAGTATGTGTATTGTTTATTAAGCATCCATGAGCAAGATGAGGTGGCAGAGGAGAGCCAAAAGGTGGCGCGCATCAATTCCATCTCCCTCCCGGCCAGGGTAAGCATTGCGAGCTTGAAATGGGGAGATCTGGATGCAGAATCGAGCCAAATTGAGTAAGGGAATTCTTCGTCGTCGTCGGAGCTCGAAATCTCTGGCGGCGGCGCTGGAAAATTATGGATATGAGTTGGGACAGGATACGGTGACAACCCAGATTCACAACCAAGGATATTTTGGGTATGAAAAAAATGAATATATTAATTATCTTTTTTGTATTAATTATATTGGGAATTTAATACCCATATTAAATACAATTTTTTTCTGAAATTTGAATCTTATACATTAATATCTCTATCTATCTCTCTCTCTCTCTTCCTTTCTCCAGCAGCCACTCCGCATCGACTGACAAACTTTTTCTCCGGCGAATTCTCTCCGGCAGACTCCCTCCGGCAACCTGAAAAAATGTACCAATGCGTTAAAAAGTGTACCAATCTATTAGTCTACTGGTAATTAATATACCAGTGCTAGTGGTACGTTACCAGTACGTTAAAAAATGTACCAGTACTAGCGGTACCAGTAAAAAATGTACCAATACTAGTGGTACGCTACCAGTACAACGCTACCAGTAGAGAATAACACAACGCTACTAGCACTGGTAGCGCTACCACTATCATTGGTAGCGGTACCAGTAGAGAATAACACAAAAAAACAGATAATAGTGGTATTAGATGATAGTGGTACCAGATGATAGTGGTACCAGTGAGTAGTGGTAGGGGAGCCACTGGTACGTACCAGTGAGTAGTGGTATCGTACCAATAGGAATTGGTACCACTAGCATTGGCGGTCTTCTCATCGAGATTCTTCGCACCCCCAGCGGTGGCCTTGGCGTCGAGGAGGTCGTTGAAGCCGACGCCGGAGGCAGAGAGCTTGGTGTAGAGACGATCTGGACGTCGATCTGGACGTTGCTGATGAGAACGCGGACGGAGCCGATCTGGACGTCGCGGAGCCAGGCGGCGGCGTAGATCTCGATCATGATGGCGGGGACAGCAGGCTGTGAACGGTGGGCACGGGAGAGGAAGAGGGAGGGGAGGACAGCGGCGGGGCAGGGCGCGAGGGGAGGACAGCGGCGCGGCGGCAGGGGAGGCAGAGGCGGCGACGGTGGTGGAGCTCTTGACGGCTAGGGTTTTTTTGTTAGAGATATGTGAGAGGGGAAGAGAAGGGAGACGCAGGAGAATGGGGGAGGGTCTTTTTTTTTTTTTTTTGGTAATAAAAAGTATTTATATGGAAAATGGAAAGGATCTCATGTGGTAAGTTTTCCATTCCGAATTTGCCCTTGGTTTAATCTTAACCATTAATTTAAAAAAAGAAGAAAAAGACAGGAGAGAGAACGTATCCGATGGCCACAAAGGTGGTTGTGAATCTGACAACCCCCAAGGGGGTTGTCACCGTATCCTGTCCCATATGAGTTTGTTTTGACATTTGAGGTTAAGTGCTTGAAATATAAATAAATGAATTAAGGGTATTAGAGTAAATTACTTTGGATGATGAATAATAAATTTTAGAGCGACGAATAGCAATGACTAACCACTACACAATTACTATTAATACAAACGACTACACACCCCAAGTTAATATATATAACGTTGAAGTGAAGTTATTGTTTCCTAAACTATTACATTTTGATACCCCAAATTTTATTAAATTACAACTTAGTCACTATAATTTACTTTTACATTTTTTATCTACAATTTTTTACATTTACATATTGGTCCAATGTTGAGATTTCACTTGAATTCATGAATTCGATCCACCAATCCTTTAGGACCAATCCATGAATCCAATCCACGATAACATAAAAGTATAAATTTAGTTTGTACCATACAAGATGTTGTATCACTCAACTGTAGGAGAAGATTCGACCATTTTATATTTTCTTGTTATGTTAAATATTAAAAAAATAATATTAGAGAGACGATTCTAAAATATTGCAAGAGCGAATTTATAAACTCATTTATTACATTTACAGGGTACTACTTATTAGAAATACATCTTTTTTCACTATGAGATTTGACGGCGTGAAATTTTAAGCAAGTTCCAGTTTGATTCCGTTTGCTTCTCTTTAGAGTTTTTCTTTTTTACCCGGGCTAGAATTTTCAACAATTATACATAATAAATAAATAATTATCATGTTAAATACATCACCATAAAAGTAATTAAGCCTCAACTACGCAAATTATAGTTGGGTACCTAAACTTAATAGATCTTTATATTTATAACCTAAATTTATTTTTTGGAACATAAGTCCTCAAAATATTGATGGAACGTCACATTTTAGAACCTAAAATTTTTTGTATTACATTTTAGTACTTGAACTTTTGAAGTTCGACAAATAGGTCTAATTTTTGTATGTGTAATTAAAAGAC